GAAAATTCATGTATGACCCAATTACCTCACTTGTGTAATAACCCTTGAATTATTCTTCAAAAAGTCACGCAAGCACTGAAAACTATCTTTTACCTTGAAATTCAGCCTGATTCAGCTTTGGTGTTTCTGACTGTTTTACAGCCCCTTGGCATGATTTTATTTAGTTGGTTTTTTAGTAGTAATAGTATTTTATTACTGTTTTTAACAGAGCATATATAGCAGACATGAAAATATCCAAGTCCAATGAGAAAACCACTTATATACATACACATAAATTTATGTATATGCTTAATTATAATTGAAGATATCAAGATATAAAGTATGTGTTTTAATGCTAAGGTTGCGTTAAATTGTTTTCCTGAATTATGGCCTTATTCAGCCAAATTGTATCTCCTTTTAAATTAAAGGAATGTAGTTAAGATCCTGCAATAATCTTTTTAAATCAGACAGCATGCTATAATTTACTCCCCAGTGAGGAGATTAAATCAGAATGGGAACTATTATCCTTGGTGAGGTTGTTTCTCACAGAGCAACCCGCATATCTGAGGATATGCAGATTGTGATGGTTTGCTATTTAAAAGGAAGGAAAAATGACAGCTGCTAATTTGGCCATAATAACATGTTACACTAATTGTCTTTGTTTCAACAAAGACTAAAAGAGCTAACTCCCCTTTATTTAAATTATGACTTAAACTGTCGAGGAACTTCAGAGAAGCAAATATTTACATTGCTACGGTAGGACTGTGTAAATGGGAAGATGCAAATAAATTTCATCGCTGCTGGCAATGAGTTTGACATTTAAACTGGACCTGCCCGTGATCTCACACATTTGAGTTAATGTCATGTGCAGTGAAGTGCTGTTTAGGTGATCACCCTGAATGACAGGAAATTCATAAAGCTGGGGTATGGTAACTAAAGAGTTACGTTTGTTTATTCTTGTTTTATTAGTATCTCCTGACACTTGAAATATTACTTGATGTTCTTGGATGTTATCAACTGAAAACAATGAGAATAAAGCACTTGAAGGTCAAAAGCCTACATAATTAGAGGAAATCAATTAGAAATGTGGTTAAACAGTATCACTGCTGAAGTACTTTCTCCAGGCCAAAAAAAAGAATCATTTCAGCTTTCCAACTTCCAACATTCTTGATCAAAGCCCAGCCGTCCACGTGATGTTTGAAGGGACTTGTGGCTTTTTCAGGTGTTTTGCACACAGAAGGGGTGGGGTCATTAGGCACCAAAGTTTGTTTTGATTATGTCCGAAAACCAGGAGACAACAAAGGCTGGGATGGAGGCTGGGATTGCTCTGAAGTGTCACAGCCTGAGATAGGTGACTGTTGTGCCACCCTGGCCCCTGGCTGCTGCCCCACCCTGAGGTCCATATGCAGCTGGCATGGGAGACATTTGTCTGAGCTGGTGCTGCTGCAGGGATGCAGCTCCTCAGCAATGGCTCGTGCCCACACACCGTAACAGCTGCCACACAGGCAAATTTCTGACCATGCAGCTGGTTTTGTGATGATATGGTTGGTGATTTGACTGACACAGCTCCCCACACTGGAGACAGGCCTACGTGTGTGTGTGAAACACCAAGTGTGTTTATGCTTTGTTGCATGAAATCTGGCACAAAAAGTGAGATTGAACATGTATTTGGCAAGTGCAGTGAGTATCCTGGAATACTATGCCACTGCTGTTACACACTGTCAGATTATCTCCCATTGCCTTTGGGGTTTGAAAGCAGAGCTGAACCAGTCTCCTGATTAAGCATGCAACCTAGCTCAAGCCATTGTGGACTGGCAGACACATGATGGAGAATCTCACTGCTTTTTCTTAAGAGTACCAAAAATGCAATCTAGAAACAAAAAGTAAGAAGTGCATCTTACTTGAGAGATCCATATTTTGTGCCTTGTTAATGCAAAGGGTGCAGCATTCTTATAAGCATCCTGGTCCCAATTCAGCAGAGCACTTCAGTGCACACTTTCCTTCAGTTACTCATTTACGTTCCACTGGCACCAAATTTTGATCCTAGTGTTTAGTCATTCTCCAGGAAGATCTTCAGCAAACTATTTCTACAAACATGTTAGTTAATAGTCTGTTCACCTTTAAGTGCATTTTGCAAAAGGGGAGACTTTTCTGTATGGTTATGCTGACCAAGGACAACTCTTTCAGCACAGAAACAGTCACACAGACAACTGTATTTCACACTACAAAGACTCAAGAGCTCACTCCTAAATGTACCAAGTGTAACTTCACCCTCATGATTGGCCCAACATGTGTTTAAATGTTTGCAGAATGTTCGTTCCCTGGTTTAACTTTTGTAAAGTATTGCCAGATGAGGTAGATTTTGCACTCAAGCTACCCCCGGTAAAGTATGTTAGCTCTCAAAGGTTTTATTATAAAATCCTGGAGTTTTCAAGGCAAAAAAGCAATAGGGCAAAGGAAGGGTGAGGGGCAGGGGAGAGACAGACAGATGAATGGACAGAGGCATTATTCTATAAATTAAAATTTATGTGCTGAAATAAGAACACTGCCAGCAAAGCCAGCTTTGCTTATCCAGTTCCTTTCAAGGAGTTTAAAGTCACTTAAAGGAGCACTTCCCTCACAGTCATACTCGACAGATTGCCAATTACAGCCCTGCTGAGAGGATGGAATTTCTTTAGTCACAACTGTACATCTGCCCTGGCAGTAATGAGCAAGGTACATGCCTTATGATTAGGTTACAAAGAAGTACCTCCAAACTGTAAAGCTTGGTTTCCACACATCTGAATTTGCTTGGTATCAATAAAAAAGATAAGGTTGTTTTTACATCAAGTAGACAAATTCAGAGGTTAATTGCTATTAACGGGAAGGTCAAAAGGATACCTAAACAAGATCCTACTTAAGGAAAACACGTTTACAAATGCAGTACAAAGAGTTTTCAAAGATTATTACAGGGGCATCCAGCATTGTAAATGCTACGTATATATGTGCAACCTGGCACCTACAGAGAGCTGTCAGATGTGCAGTGGCAGTCTGGAAATCTACAGTAAAATTTTGTGAGATAGGAGTAAAATATCTCAAGGGTGGCTTCAGTTTTAAAGTTAAGCATCTGATGTAAGTTAGTCAGCTAGACTCCAACAGGAGCCTCCAAGATGTCATTTATCCCACTTGTCTAAAAAAACAATCTCCCAGGAGGGAGCCAACCACCCTGTGAAGGTGCTGAACTCTCTTGACTAGAGAGGGACACTAGACATGTAGCACACACCAACTGCAGAAATGTTGGATTGCTTAATTTTGGTGAGATTAAGCCCATGTCTCAGGATTTATTGACTTCAACATTTCGTGTCAGGGGATAGCAATATTATCACTCTTTACGCAACACTCAAGAGGAATAGCTATGTGTTTAAAATCCAGCTTCAAGAGGATACAAATACTTCAGTCCTTGATATAGTCCCTTAACTTCACAACAAGTACTCTTCAGCTTCAAGAGAAGCACACACTCAAGGACCCCTGAGGTCACACCCTCACCTCTGGGGAGCCCCTGTGGGTTCAGCTGCACAACCAGACATCTTCCCAGTGCTGCCATATCCAAGCTGCTACAGGCCAAATACTGACTCTGACTGCTTGGAAAACGCACCAGAACCTGACATAGGTGCTCATCCCCCTCAGACAAGATGAATTCTCCATCATGGAGCTCAGCTGGCTCTGCTGCAGAAATACTGCTCCTCCCTCCACAGGGCCAGGGAAAGAAGTTTTGCTCCCACAGGACTTAGTGTCTGCTTCCTAAAAATGCTGTAATCTTTTTCACTTTTACAAATATTTTAACTCAGTAAAAACTATTTAAAGTAAGGATGAGAAGGGCAATTGGTCAAAGAACCACAGCATGCTTAGTATTTTTTCTTCCTGAGTTCCCATCCACATTTGAAGTAACTTTTGTTCCATTTGCAACCCACATGCTGACACAGCATCCCTCCCCTTTTCTGTTTCCAGATCCTTTTATGAGTTTATTCAATAAAAAGACAGATACTCATCTCTTTTCAAGTACAAGAACATGCTTTTGAATAACTCAATATGCGATAGTGTAACAGTATGCCAAGACAGCCCTTGTTTTAATCAGTCATATCAACTCTCAGAGCAGAGCTGCCATACACATCTCATCACCTTCTGCATTTACCTCATGGCTATGGAAATGTGTAGAGCTACATTCAGGCTTCCTGTTCTTCACAGAGAAGAAGGAGTGATCCCCAGGGACAAGGCTGCCTGACCCAGGTCCCTCTGAACCTCTGGAATCTACATCCTAGGACCAACAAGCAGCCTCCCTCCTTGCAGCAACAGACCTTTCTGCTGGTGTCTTTTAGCACGTACATGGTCTGACCCGCCCAGCTAGTAGTGGGACATAAACAAACTGGCAAATCTTCCTAGCCGTGTTCCAGGAAGAAAGGAGGTAGAGGAGGAAGACAGGATAAGGAAACAGGAATGATAAGCCAGCCACCAGACTGACAGGAAAGTGTGCAGAGGTGGACAGGAAGCGGATGCTGGGATTCAGGGGTAAAAGCTGCAATGACAGAACTAGCAACTTCAACTGGCAGGTAAGGGAGGACCAAAGTCCTAGAGCAGATAAGAGCAGTCCTGTGCAGTCCAGCGAAAATAATGCAAATGAGGACTGTCTGTTTCTGTTCCCAGTCTAGGGGCTGGGAACAGAAACAGACATCAGGCTGGTTCGTGAGTGAGGGTGAAGAAACTGAACTGTGTTGTGGGAGCAAGGACATGAGGTGATACATGCAATCATCTCCCACCTGCAATTGACACTGAACTCACACCAGAAGAAGCTCTTCCAAGCAAAGGTTTATACATCTGTGAAACTGGTAGCTCAGAGGGAAGCCAGTGCAAAAGGCAGTCTTGCTGGTAAGGCATGGGTTACACAAGGAGTAGGGGTTGGTTTGGTGCACGATCTCAACAAACATGAACATCAGGTCTGCAAGAATGTAACAGAGCAGTCAGAGAGGAAAATCACATTCACTAACCTTCATATATGGTGATGATATGAGGGTGGCTGAGGGATGACATGATCTCAATCTCCCGTCTGATGTGAACCATATCTTGTTCATCCTTAATTTTGTCCTTACGAATGGACTTTATTGCAACCTATAAATTCAGGAAATCAAGCATTATTCTTGGAACTGAACAGATGCATCTAATCCACTAAGAAGAGTTCAAAAAATAAATACAGATGTTAAATGTTGGCAGAACGTGGAATGACCAAAACAAACCTTTAAAATACAAACCTCCGTGCTCCAGCTCCCTCACTGTATAGCAGTAAGTACACTCTCATTACAGTAATGGGTGACATGAAGTTTTGGGCTCTTCAGGTCTTAGGACTTCACTAAGGGGGAACACAGCATCTTTTGGAAAGATCTCTGTGCCAGCCTAAGAATTCTCCTTATGCAAATGGCAAAACTCTCCAAGAGATTTTGATGGGAAGCACATTTGCTAAGACAGGATTGCATTTGACAATTTTGAAAAGAAACTTTTTAGACAATTCCTGTGAAAAAACTTTGAGCTCTCTGATGGAAAGGAGGCAGGAAATCCAGGGTGCCGATTATGTACTGATATCCATGTTAATACATAAAGGATCCCATTAACACAGGTTAGTCCATGGTTCTCTAAAACAGGCAAACTATTCAGGAGTTATGACTTATTCAAAAATCAGAAGAAATAGATCTTTGAAATTCACATCTAAACTCGTCTTCATATCAACCCAAGGCTTCAGGTCCTACACAACACTTGTGAAATCACAGCAAAACCATATCCTTCCTGCATCCTTCCTCAATCAGCAAGCTTTTTTACAAGCATATCATGTGACTGGGTATCTTTCCAAAAGGCAGGGTGGGAACAGAGGAAGTGATAGCTGGACTGCAATATAAATTCAAATTATAACAGTCCTTGTTAGTGTCTATATGTGTGCTGCCTGTGAAAAAAGGGCTTATCTGAACACCCCCATAAATAATCATGGAGGTCATCTCATGCCCTATGAGAAATGCAGAAGGCAACAATGCAGAGAAGCGGGTGGGAGAGGGAAGGTGAGGGCATTGTGCATACTGAATGGCAGCACTGCCTTTATTATACTCAGTATTTACCCTGTATTGTTTTTTTTAAGCTACAGTCCAGGGAATAAATATCAGCTAGCTTAAAATCAACAAAACATGTCTGAAAAACATCACTGACCTGGCTGAGATGACCACCCTTCTATGGGTAAACCAAATTTGTGTCATTCATTGCAGCCAACTACTGTGGACTTTCCTGGGAAAACACTTGTAAATCTATGATTTACATTATTTCCCCAGTTAGTCTAGAAAAAAAAATTCACTGCCTACTTCAGTAATTGCAAGTGGCATGACCAGTATTGTTTTCATTATATGATGTAGCATTGAGGATATTGAAGATAGGAGAGAAAAACTTACAATATTATAAAATTGAAATGTACATAAACAGGAGCCAGTTTAAAGGATCAGGTTTCCTACAAAGCCTTCAACTCTGAAAAGCAACATTGTTCAAAAAAGCATTAAGCACATGCCCCATCCCCTTGAATTCCCAAAGACTGCTGCATGTGCTTAAAATTAAGCTCTTGCTCAAGTGCTCCCCTACTTTGGCACAGCAGAACAAAAAAGAAGTCAAGGAACAAAATTATTTGCGCGATAAAACCAAAACAACTCTTTTTTTCCTCTTGACCCAAACATTTGGAATAGAGATTTTACAAGTAACAACATAACTATAGTCTTATTTACATGGCACATATTTTTAGAAAAGGTAATACAAGAGATCTTAACTGAATGAACGACCAAGATAGCCTCCAAGACATTCTAGAGATGGAAAAGGAAACCAGCTTTAAAGATGATATTGGATTTTTCCCCTTCCCACGTTTGCACTGGAACTGACTGCAATTGCAAATACACCCTGTATACAAAAGGATGTGGGTGGCTCTTGGAGCAGTATGTGCATTCCTGCAAGAAATAAATATAGACATGGGTAAAAACAATTTTTTTATTAAAAGACAGCCTTGTACTTGGCTCTGAGGAAGAATTTAAGAAGGATTTCATTGTCAAATATACAACAGGGAGCAAATTCTTCCCCATTCATGGCTGGTAAAATAATAACAGCAGCCCAAAAGACATGCCAATCTCCTGATAACTTGACTGCTTCACAGACAGGACAATTGCACATCTACCCATAATTACTGCAACTAGCCTCTGTAGAATAATTGTATATAAGAAAACATATTTTTAGATACAAAATGCAAACATAATTGAAAAGTGTGTTGGCACATTGTAAATATACGTTGGGATCAATATTCTAATGCAAACAGATGTGTTGCCTGGGAACACAACTTTTAACAGGACCAGAGAGTTTACAGTCTCACAACCCATGCTGAAAGCTAAGGCACCTTAATTTATAAAGGCTATTCTTAAAAGTTTACCCAAATTTCAAAGATGATACTTAAGCTCTCCTGAAAGCATCACTTCCCAGTTGCAGGGGTAGTATTCAACAGCCCAGCCAAAGTACTTAGGATTTTGTTGGTGACATCCAGGCTGCAACGTCTCATCCCAATATAAGGAAAGAATACATGCTGAACACCTCTCTTGGGTTTTAACTACAAGACTTTCTCTTTTCCTCGCTCAGCTCCTTCAGATCACAGTGACTGGCACTTGGAAACAAGGAAAGACAATTGGCAGGTGTGAAATATCTTTACTCCAGTGGTGTCAGTGGAGCGAGGGCAGCTCTAAGCCTCCACCTGGCCACGGTCAGCCCATCCCCTGCAATCCTGAAAACAGCAAGAGCACTGCATGGAGACAGTGCCCCTTGTACGTGACCAGCACAAGCACTCACACGTAAGAGAGGTTTATTCACATGCACTAACAAAGCAGTATCACTGCCTATTTGTAAAGCACATCAGCTGTAGCCGTTTATTGGTAAGCCTTGATATGCAAGTGGTGAAACAGCAAAATTTACCCACTTTCAGAAGATGAGGAAATCGAAACAGAAAGGTGACATGAATCCTAAAGGAAACAAGTACAGTAGCATCTCAGAAATTGCTGCCTGCCTCTTCCTCCCAAACTGTGCAACACACCACAGAAGTGCCTTATTCAACAAACCATCTGCTTATTACAGATGATTTCTGATACCTTTCCCCATGTTCAATTGCTATTTTTCTCCTCAAAAAGGGTGTCAGGAAAGTGAAAGGTTCAAAGGCATCTCAACAAATGCTTTTCTCCCCATGTCATCTGCCTGGTGGCCTGCACAATCCCCAAGTGGATAGGTTCCACACTTCAAAAGCTACCAGCCATCCACAGCCTTGCTGGTGACCTGGTCCAAAAGGCCAAACAGTGAGTGACTGGTGTCAGCAGACTGTCACTGTCAGAGGTGGCATTCCAGAGCAGGATTAGTGGAGCAGGACAGCTCTTCCCTTTTAAGAAATGGATTTCTGCCAGATAAGTCTTTCACCTGAACCAGTTTGCTCAGATCATGTCAGCAAGAATACTTGGGCTCAAGTCTACTGATGTGAAAAAAACAGCATAAACAAGAAAGCAGCCCAGTTGAGTTTTATTCAGTATTTCATGGAAACATTACAAATCACAATCGCATTCAAGGTATTTTATTACATGGTTTCATTGTTTTCATATCTCTGAGCAAAATAAGACCCCCAGCTGTATGTTATGGCATCAGACCGTAAAACCAGCCTGTCCTCCAGGTATTCTAAAATACCAATAATGTAACTTCTTGAATGAAATTTATTGATTTCAAAAATATATTCCAGAAAATACATTTTCAAAGAGCGCTTATAGTTTTGACACCAGACAGAGCTGGCTCAATTTTTCTAAACCCCACTTACAGGACTGCTGCATGATGAACCTGAATAACTGCAGCATAATAGGAAATAATGTCAATTGAGAAATACTTTATGAAACAAGTTGGTTTGTTCATTCTTAAGGTTCTTTTCTTTCTGTCTTTCTAGCCTTTCTTGCTTTCTCTGAAAGCAGCGGCTTCACTGTGAGCAACATCAAAATTTATTAAGGGTCACAATCTACGAATCAAGAGTATAGAAAAAGCAACACGCTTTTTCACATCAGCTACGTTAACTACTCCAAATATTCCAGCTTAATATCTGCAGAGAAAGTGCTGTTAGTCCCTTTGGTACTCTCAAAACACTATACTTATACCTTTACCACACTTTCCCAATATATTTTACTGGGTTTAAGACTTAGATAATTTAATTATAGTATTTTTAGTAACGTTACTAGTGGAGGAATTTGTCTTTTTCCTAGCTTCTTGTCTTAATGAGAATTTCAGATAACTCTAAGATCTTGCACTCAGAGAAAGTAACATATCAGATTCCTAATAATGAAATCTAAAGCCTCTCACCCCAACAAAACAGGTTCAAGTTCACCCAAAGCCCCTACAGACATAGTATCCAATCTGGCAAAACACTTTAGCACATGCCTAACTTCACACATGTGAGCAGGTCATTGACTTTTGTGGGACAGCTCACACATGCAAAGCTAAATACATGCATAAGCACCAAGGTCACAGCTCAAATCTAAGCCATGTGATGTTTCCCTCTGGGGATCATTACTGGCTGTGTGCACCAAAACCATCCCCAGTATCTTCCGCAGCTCTGATGGCTGCATGGTCCCACACATGGGGACAGGGGGAGAAAAAGACCTTCAGAGATGGGACTAAACCACCTCCACCTGTACCGCCAGTTCTGGTACCAGTCTCTGCTCAGAAGGAGATAAAAAGAGAATATCCTCTCCAAAATCTATGGCACCGGCAGGGGTTGTGATCCTCTAATATTGCCAGGCACTTCCAAAATTCTCTGCACAAGCACAGCCCCAGCTTCACTGCTGCTCTGCCTTCCAGAAGCAGATAGGAAAGAGGGAGCACAGCTTTTGGCTTCCCATCCCTCCGTGAGTCAGCCTGCAGAGTGTGCTGTGCAGGAAGCGTAGAGAAATAAATTGCTTTCTTCAAGGCTGCAATAAATTACTGGTTTCCATTTGCTGGAAAGAGGATTTATACTCACTCTCTGAACTGGTGTAGAGAGATTATAAAGTATTTTCCAACACACTTCATGCTTCTTTGCTTTTGTTTCA